GCCTGACCATAGCCAAAAACGCGCTACTTGCCTGCGCCCTCTCACTTTCGCTGGTTCTGCTGCTTCGTGCTCAATTGCGCCGATACTAAACTCCCGCAGCTAACAAGCCCTTAAATGGCACACAGTAACCAGAAGTGAAACAGCACGTACAAGTAGCGTGTTTAGCCTGTGTTGGGCGTGTGATTGCGGCCGGGCCACCGGGTGAGGTATGCAGACGGCTTCCGCGTATCATTGCCTCCGGCCCCGTCCCCGTGCATTGTTGAGCGGAGAAAAAGGCATGCTATTAGCTGCGGATCCACTCACAGCGCACATGGCAATGAACAGGATCTTCGAAGGAAGGACCTGTGCCAATGTCTGACATAAGAGAAGGGTGGGAGAGAACTCCAGGGTGAGTGACTAGTTCCAGGTAGGGCTATTCTATTCAGATGACGTTGATTCCAGTTTTGTACAAATACTCCTTCAAATGCCCCCCCCCCCCACCTCCTTTCAGAGTTGGAAGCGCTGCAAATTCAACAGAGTATATCAGCGCTCTAGGAGGACTGAGGAGAATGGAATATTCCCTATTCATCCACAGTACACCAGTAGCAATGAGGATATCCGCTTCTTGATATAGCCCCCGCTCTACTGCTGCACCTCTCGCATCGAAGTCGGCCCCATCCCACTTCCAGGTAATCGAGTATACCCTGATCCCGGCGCTGAAAGTGTTTTTGGCTTTGGTAAGCAAAAACACGATTAACAATTCAAATATGTTCGATCAGCTGGAATCGGAGCGTTGCCCCCATGTGAAAAGACAACACTGAGTAGACCAAGTCAAGTAGCACAAGGTCACCGCGAAAAGTCCCAGCACTGACGTCGGAACAAACTTGGGCTCTAAAGATAATGTAAGGAAGGATCAGTAGAGTGCTGACCCCTGTGATACTCAGTCTACTGATCAGCTCAACCTTCAACATTCCCATGATCTGGTCAGGAGACATCCAAGCCACAACGGTCACACACAGCACATTATCGTGATGGGGAAATTTTTCCACGATGTGGCGATACTACCTTCTCCACAAAAATCAAACAGAACTTTTTTTACACTGCAGGAGAAGTTTCTGTGATGATGTGCTCTACGGCCAATATTCACAGCATTCAAAAGGTCAATCGATAAGCGTGCAGCTCGCAGCATCGCCTATTCTCTTGGCGACTTGGAGCTTGTAGTATTCCAGATAGCCACTAACAATGGGTTAAAAGAACGGTTCATTACACTAAAACTGAACTGCGAAACAGGGCTCAGGGCACATCGTTGTTGGGGAATCCCAATGAGGGGTGTCGTAGGTTGATTTTTCTCGCTTCATGGACGTTGTAAAGGGAGGGGGATCGTATTTGATCATTTTCGGAAAAAAGGGGGGTCGTATTTACGTTTTGGCGTTGTGGGAGTGGCGGTTGATCGACGGCTCGATTCGATGAGGAGGGACAGAGGGCTGGGTGGAGGTCGTACCAACTTCGCACCTAGTAACAATGTAGTCCGCGTTCATACTTCGCGACTGAAGGGATTCGGCGATTTGGTAGACAGCGATTCGAGCGACTGCGCGACGGGAATCATAAGTATCGGTCTGATGACTGTGCAGACTTAGCGATGATTTGGGATAATAGGCTTTTTCGGCGACAGCTTGCCAAGGGCGTGGATAGATATTGATCTGGTTCGCGATGGTTCGTAGGTCGCCAAAATCTCCTCAGTAGCAAAGCATGAACGGGGCCTTACAAGGAGTACAGCATGGAACCT